TTTTGCAGAGCAGAATGTTTTTTATTTTAATGAATCATGCTTATTGGTTATTCCTTTCATAGATGGTGCCTTTGGTGTTGTATCTAAAATGTTATCACTGTAGCCAAGGTCACCTGGATTTTGTACTTTGTTGTCTTCAATGAATCTTACAGCTTTGCATTTTATATTTAGGTCTATAATCCCTTTTCAGTTACTTTTTGTGAAGGGTATAAAGTTTGTGTCTGAATTCATTTTTTTGATTGTTTTGCATGTGGATGCCCAAATTTTCCAGCACATCTGTTTAAAAAGACTATCTTTGCTCCACTGTACTGTCTTTCCTCTTTTGTCAAAGATCAATTAACTATATTCAAGTGGGTCGATTTCTGGATTGTCTACTCTATTTCATTGATGCATTTGTCTATTTTTTTCACCAGTTCTACACTATATTGATTATTGTTGCTTTGCAGTAAATCTTGAAGTGGGCAGTGACCATCTTCTTAGTTTGCTCTTCTCCTTCAATATTGGATTGGCCATTCTGGATCTTTTGCCTCTCCATACAACCTTTAGAATAGTTTACGGATATCCATAAGATAACTTATCCATAAGATAAGATTTTGGTTAGGACTACACTGAATCAGTAGATCAAATTGGAAGAACTGATATTTTACTAATATTAAGTCTTTCTATTCATAAACATGGTACATATTTCCATTTGCCTCCGTTTTTTTTTATTTCTTTCATTAGAGTTTTGTAGTTTTTTTCCTATAGATCCTATACATATTTTGTTAGATTTATAGCCAAGTGTTTCACTATTTTGGGTGTTAATGAAAATGCTATCATGTTTTTTAATTTCAAATTTCACTTGTTCATTGTTGATGTATATGAAAGCAATTGATTTCTTTATATTAATCTTGTATCCTGCAATGTTGTTTAATGGCTTATTAGTTAGAAGAGTTTTATTGTTGGTTTTGATGATGATGGTGATGAAAATGATGATTCTTTTGAATTTTCTATGTAGGCAATCATGTCAATTGTGAACGAAGAGTTTTATTTCTTTCTACCCAATCAATATTCCTTTTTAATTTGCTTATTACATTAGTTAGAACTTAAAATACAATGTCAAAAATGAATGGTGAGAGGGGCCATTGCTGCCTTGCTCCTAGCAAGAAAACTTCTAGTTTCTTGCCATTAAATATTTTGTTAGTTGAAGGTGTTTTGTAGATTTTAAAAAACAAGTTAAAGAATTTCCCCTCTATTCTTAGTTTTCTGAGAGCTTTTGTCATAAATCAGTGTTGCTGCTACTGCTGCTAAGTCGCTTCAGTCGTGTCCAACTCTGTGCGACCCCATACATGGCAGCCCACCAGGCTCCCCCGTCTCTGGTATTCTCCAGCCAAGAACACTGGAGTGGGTTGCCATTTCCTTCTCCAATGCATGAAAGTGAAAAGTGAAAGTGAAGTCGCTCAGTCATGTCAGATTCTTCACGACCCCATGGACTGCAGCCCACCAGGTTCCTCTGCCCATGGGATTTTCCAGGTAAGAGTACTGGAGTGGGTTGCCATTGCTTCTCCGAAATTAGTGTTAGGTTCTGTCAAATGTTCTTTCTGCATTTATTGATATAATCATGTGATTTTTCCTCTTTAGTCTATTGATATTATGGATTACATTAATTGATTTTTGAATGTTGGTCCAGGCTTGCATACTTGGAATAAATATCACTTCGTCATGGTATACAATTTTTTCTGTACATTTTTGAATTTGATTTGCTAATATTTCATTGAAGACTTTTGCATCCATACTTATAAAAGTTATTGGTCTGTAGTTTTCTTTAATATCTTTGTATGGTTTTGGTATTAGGATAATTATTGCTCAAAAAATAGTTAGGAAGTATTCTCTCCAATCTTCTGGAAGAAAATTTGGAAGTTGGGACAATTTCTTCTTTAAACATTTTGTAAAACTCACCAGTGAACCCATCTGGGCATGGTACTTTCTCTTTTGGAAGATTATTATTTTTTATTAAATTTCTTTAAAATATATAGCTTGTCTTCATCCATGCAGGCTGCTATAACAAAAATACTATAGACTAAGTGGCTAATAAATAACAGAAATTTATTTCTCACAGTTTTGGAGGCTGAGTTGAGGAGTCCAAGATCAAGGTGCCACCAGATTCAGCATCCTGCAAGGATCAGTGTCCTGGTTCACAGACAGTCATCTTCTCACTGTAACCTCATGTGGCAGAAGAGGCAAAGGAGCTCCCTGCGTTTTCTTTATAAGGGCACTGATCCCATTCATGAGGGCTCTTTCCTCAGGACCTAATCTCCCTAGGGCCAGCTCCTACCATTACATTGGGTGATAAGATGTCAACATATGAATTTAGAAGACAGATATATAAACACTCAGTCTATAGCACAGGCATATTGTCTATCTCCTGTTGTGTGGATTTTGGCAGGTTGTGTCTTTTGAGGAATTAGCTTGTTGTATCTAGTTATCAAATTTGTGAGCTAATAATTATTCATAATATTTTATTAACCTTTTAATATTGATGGCATCTATAGTGATGTCCCTTCTTTAATATCTGGTACTAATAATTTTCTATAATTTGCTTCTTTTTTTTTTCTTAGTCAGGCTAGAGACTTATCAATTTCACTGATTTTTTCAAAGAATCACTTTTATTTAAAATTGTTCACTTTTTCTATTGATTTCTTATTTTCAATTTCATTGATCTATGTTCTGATTTTTTTCTTCTGATTACTTTGAATGTAATTTGATCTTCTTTTTCTAGTTTCCTAAAGAAGCTCTGGGAATTGATTTTAGATCTATTTTCTTTTATATATAACATATGCATTCAGTACTATAAATTTCCATCTAAGCACTACTTTCACTTCACCCCCCAAAATTTAAGAATTTTCATTTTCACTTATTTCAAAATATTTTTAATTTCTCTTGAGATATATTCTTTACCTATGTGCTATTTCAAAGTGTGTTGTATAATCTCCAAGTGCTCGGGGATTTTCTGTATATCTTTCCATTATTGATTTAATTTTATTTTTATCTAAGAGTAAATAATGTACAATAAACTTTCCATTTGGTACAGTGTGTTCTATAGCCCTGAATGTGGTCTATCTTGGTAAACATTCCATATAAACTTGAGAAGAATATATATTCTGCCTCATTGAATGAAATAATTGATTATGTCACTTATATCCAATTGACGGATGGTGCTCTTGCATTCAATTATGTCCTTACTGATTTTCTGCCAGCTGGATCAGTCCATTTCTGACAGATGAGCACTGAAGTCTCTGATTCTATTAGTAAATTCATCTATCCTGCTTGTTGTTTCATCAATTTTTGCTTCCCATCTGTAATACTCTGCTGCTAGGGGCATAAACATTCTGAACTATGATGCATTCCTGTAAAATTGACCCCTTTAGCGTTATGTAATGCACGTCTTTACTACTGATAACTTTCCTTACTCAGAAGTCTGTTCTCTCTGAAATTAATATATCTACCCAAGATTTCTTTTGACTAGTATTATCATGATATATCTTTCTCCATTCATTTACTTAATCTATATGTCTTTTAAAGACATAGATTTAGGGTGGATTTCTTTTAGATAACATATAGCTGGGTTTTTGTATCTACTCTGACAATCTGTCTTTTAATTGCTGTATTTAGATTATTGATGTTCAGAATGATTGTTCAAAATATTGTTGGACTAATATTTACCATTGTAGTTGTCAATGTTTTCTCTTCATTGCCTTTGTCTTCTGTTCCTTTTTTCTATTTTTATCTTCCATTCTTTTCCCTCCCTTTATAGTTTTAATTGAGCATGTCATACGAGTATTTTCTCTGCTTTCTTAGTATCTCAGTTATACTTTTTCTTTTATTTTTTTTAATGGTCACCTTAGAGTTTGCAATATACAGTTACAACTATTCCATGTCCACTTTCAGCTAACACTGTACTACTTCATGGGCACTGCAAGTATCTTATAAAAATAAACCTAATTTCTCTCTCCTGTCCCTTGTATCATTGCTGACATTCATTATATGTATACATAAATATACCAAAGTACATATAAGCATGCATGTGTTCTTACTTACTGAACACATTGTTGCTATTATTCTTTTAAACAACTATTATCTGTTAGATTAATTAAGAATAAGAAAAATAAAAGTTTTAATTTTACCTTCACTTATTCCTTCTCTAATATCCTTTTTTATATAGGTCAGAAATTCTGACCTATAGCATTTTGCTACTCTCTAAACAACTTCTTATAACATTTCTTGTACATAAATCAATGGAACAGAGTAGAGATCCCAGAAATAAATATGTGATTTATTTAAATAAAAGGTGATCCCATGTGCCTACGGTAAATTGGTTTGACAAAGGAGGCAAGACTATATAATGGGGGAAATATAGTCTCTTCAACAAGTGGTGCTGAGAAAACTGGATGTGCTCACGTTTAGTCAGTCATGTCTGACTCTTTGCAACCCCATGGGACAGCCACATGCAAAACAATGAGATTAGAACATTCCTCACACCATATACAAAAACTCAGAATGGTTAAAAGACCTAAATATAAGACCTGAAACCATAAAACTAGAAGAGAAAATAGGCAGAACACTCTTTGACACAAATTATAGCAAGATTTTATTAGATCAGTCATCTCCTACCACAAAAGAAATAAAAGCAAAATTAAACCAATTGGACCCAGTTAAACTTAAAAGGTTTTGCACCAGCAACAGAAACCATCAATAAACCTATGGAATGGGAAAAATATTTGCAAATGTTGTAACTGACAAGGGGTTAATAAATAGCTCATACAACTCAATATCCAAAACTAACACAAACAACCCATTCAGAACATGAGCAGGAGACCTGAATAGACATTTTTCCAAAGACACACAGATGTCTCACAGGCACATGAAAAGATGTTCAACATCACTGAATGCTAATCAAAATGTAAATAAAACCCACAATAAAATACCACATTACATTTGTCAGAATGGCCATCATCTAAAGTCTATAAATAACAAATGTCAAAGAGGATGTGGAGAAAAGGGAATTTCTTACACTGTGAGTGGGAATGTAAATTTGTACTATGGAAAACTGTGTGGAGTTTCCTTTTAAAAGTAAAAATAGAGTTTACCATATGATCCAGCTTCCCTGGTAGCCCAGGGGGCTTCCTTGGTAGCTCAGAGGGTAAAGAATCCACCTCCAGTGCAGGAGACATGGGTTCAATTCCTGGGTCAGGAAGATCCCTGGAGAAGGAAATGGCAACCCACTCCAGTATTCTTGCCTGGAGAATTCCACAGACAGAGGAGCCTGGTGGGCTACAGTCCATGGGGTCACAAAGAGTCAGACACGACTGAGCAACTAACAGTTTCACATGATCCAGCAATTCCACCCCTAGGTATATATCTGTGAAAAAATGAAAACACTAGTTAGAAAAGATACTTGCACCTCAATATTCATAGCAGTACTATTTATGATAGTCAAAACATGGAAGCAGGGGATATGAGTTTGGTCCCTGGTCCAAGAAGATCCCACATGCCATGGACCAACTAAGCCTGTGTGCCAAAACTGCTGAGCCAGCACTCTAGAGACTGTGAGCTGCAACTACTAAAACCTGTGTGCTTGGAGCCTGGGCTCCACAACAAGAAGGGCTACCACCGTGAGAAGCCAGACAACTAGAGAATATTCCCCATTCGCCACAACTGGAGAAGGCCCATGTGCAGCAACAAAGACCCAGCACAACCATAAATAAATAAATAAAACTTTAAAAAAAAAAAAAAAGCCCTTAGGGCTTAAAAAAACATGTTATCATCTCAAGGGATTCTATGGTTGAATGTTTCTACTTGAGAGGTTTGTGTCGGGAGTTTTATGCAGTTGCAGTCAGGCAACTGACTGTAGCCTAGAGCTACAGACTTCTGATGTTCAACTATGCTGGACTCACCCATAAGGCTGGCAGTGATGCTGGCTTTTATCTGGAAGCTCAATTCTGATTGCCAAGTAAGCAGCTACACTTGTCTTCTTCACATGGCGTGGTTCTCACAGATCAGCACCAGTTTCTTAGAGAGAGCATCCCAAGAATGAGCGTTCCAAGAGACCCGAGTGGTAACTACGGGTCTATGTTTATGATCTAGCCTTCTATTTGTCAACCCAGATCCAAAAGGAGGAGATGCAGACTTTTCCTTGATGATAGCAGAGTCAGAGAATTAGTGACCATATTAAATGAAACACAAGCCAGTGGACTGATTTTACTACTCTCTAATGGGTCACACCCTGTAGTTTGAAAAATACTGCTCCAGTATAACGGGCTACACTGTTTGATGGAGGAGTAGAAGGACGTGCACTCACCTTCTCCTGTGAGAACACCAAAATCACAACCAGCTGCTGAACAAAAATCAACAGGAGTATGTTGGATCTTACCAAAAAAAGATACCCCATGTCCAAGGGCAAAGGTGAAGACCCAACAAGACAGTAGGAGAAGTGAAATCACATTTAGAATCAAACCTCAGACCCACCAGCGATGCTCAGAGAGCACAAACAAAACCTTATGCACTCCAGAACCCAAGAAAATGAGCAGTGACAGACACAAGATACTGAGCGAAACCTGCCTTTGAGTCTTTGAGTGTCTCCTGTGGAGGCACGGATCAACAGTGGCCTACTGCAGGGACAGGGGCTCTAGCTGCATCAGCCCTGGGAGGTGCAGCATGTGGCATAAGTCCTCTTGGAGGAGGTCACCATTAGCTCCACTATAGAACCACAGAGCAGATGACCCACAAACTAGAGAACAGTTATACCAAAGAAGTTCTCACACTGTTGCAAAAGTTCTAGGGACCACAAGAGATTTCCCAACCTGGTGATCTGGCAAAAAAGACTGAGAAACCCCCAGGGAATTTGACTTTGAAGACCAGGGGGATTTGATTACAGAACTTTCACAGGACTGGGGAAACAGACTCTTGAAGGGCACAAACAAAACCTTGTGTGTACCAGGACCCAGGAGAAAGGAGCAGTGACCCCACAAGAGACTGAGCCAGAATTGCCTGTGAGTGTCCAGGGGTCTCTGGTGGAGGCATGGGTCAACAGTGGCCTGCCCAAGGTCAGAAGCACTGACTACAACAGTCCTGGGAGCCACAGCAAGCTGGTATAAGTCCTTTTGAAGGAGGTCATCATTATGTCTCTTCCAGTACTAAGATTTTTGAACCTATGAATTAATTAGATCTCATGTCAGGGTATAGAGGCTACTAACTTTCTCCACTACAGGGGAAAAAAAAAACAAGAGTACAAAGCAAGAGGTGTGGCAAGGTCTGATGTCAGCGGTCAAGTTCCTGTCTAGAAGGACCTCACATTGCCTATTCTCCAACCTCCCATTGCTTCTATTTGGTCCAGGTAAATTAAGGATAAATAATTTACTAATGGCCACACATAGTGTGATGGGCCTTCTCTGGTGAAGAATCTGCCCCAATGCAGGGGACACAAGTTCCACCCCTGGTCAGGGAACTAGGATTGCACATGCCCCAGGGCAACTAAGCCTGAACACCACAACTGCTGATCGATCGCAGGTGCTCAATCAGAGAGCTTCTGAGCCACAAACTACAGAGCCCATGAGCTCTGAAGCCCACACACCACAACCAGAGAAGCCTGTGTGCTGAAACAAAGAGCCCACATGTCACCAACGAAGGATCCTGCATGCTGCAAATAAGACTCAATGCAACCAAAAACAGAAATAAATAAATACAAATAAATAGATTTACAGAGAGATGCCCACATGCTTTGATATTGTCCCTGGTCTCAGATGGCTGTAGATATTCTTAGTAAAATGTGCTTCCTGAAAAGAGGTATTTCTTATACTCCCTGTGCCGTAGTATCAACGTGTATGTTATCTTAATTTTCAGAAACATCTTTTTCTATTAAAATCTAAGAGTACTTTCTATGAACAGATGTTTCATATTCCCTTGGCTTACCAATGCAAGACTAAATGTTGAATAGAAGGCAACAGAGTCATTAAGAGAAAATAAAGAAGGGGGCATAAACACTGTAAATTTATGCACAAACTGGAATTTTGCCAAATTTGGAGGACTGATTTGCAAACTGAGATAAGCTGCTGTAAGAAGGAATGTTAGTCAATCTGAACTGTATATACAAGGTTATCTATAACAGGAATATTAATCTCTGAGGTAAGAAAGAAGAAAAATGTCCCCTGTCTGTAATTTTATTCTATTGGGTGTTATGAGATATCCCTAAGTGGACAGTCAAACTTCCAAATGACCATGTAATTCCCCATGTCTCCCTGGTGTGAAGAAGAAGAGTATAAACATGGGAAAGCTGTTCTATTTCATGGTTGCATGGATACCAAGCAGATGGGTAGATGAACATGAAACTGTTCTTTCCAGAGAGAACCTCTGTCAATCCAGGTTTCATCCATCTGCCTATATGGCTACAATCCTGCTTTATCCAAGAGAGATAGAGTGGAAGAGAGAAAGATTGAGAGATTGTATTATTAAGAGAGAAAGCTGTTTGAGCTTTAGACTCTAATTAATATTAAAACAATAAAATAGCTCTCAATTATAGAAATTGTGGGTTATAAACTCTTGCAGAAACACCTTGGAAACTGAAAATCTTTGGATAAGGTATTTAAATGGCCTGCTTAATAATCCCAACACTACTTACTAGCAAGCTATTTAAGCTCTCAAAGATTCCATTTTCTTATCCGTAAAATAAGGGATGATATTGATATAACCTCCTAGGGTTTTTGTGAGGCTAAACTGAAACCATGTTTGCAAAGCTTTTTGCACCAAATGTGGCACATAATAAATGTTCAATATTTATAAAAAATGATATGAATAATTTTAGTATGATTTTTGTCTTCACAGCTACCAGGTCTTCCTGGGAAAGAATTTCTATCCTTTCTTACTCCTTCTTTTCATCAAGCATCGTGTACTCTTCATTACCCTTTGCTTTTTAGTCATAAAAATGTGTGTTTCTTCTATGAATCTCACTGTTGCCTGGTAGACTCAGAGAAAGAAAACCCAGATGACAAAGAAGACAGAAGGCTGCTTTCTCACCCTTCTTTCCTTCAGTCTTTTAGAAGTTGCTGTGGTCTCAAGAGTTCTTTGGCCATTTTCCTTTTTTTTTTTTTTTAATTTTATTTCATTTGTTTAAATAAGACAGTGTTATCTAATTATGTGGTATTGCATGCATGCATACTAAGTTGCTTCAGTTGTGTCCAACTCTTTGCAACCTCATGGACTGTAGCCCACCAGGCTCATCTGTCCATGGGATTCTCCAGGCAAGAATACTTGTGCCATTTCCTTCTCCAAATTACATGATATTACATGCTCTCAAAATTTAAGATAACTTAGACTTTAAATGAGCCATTTCTCCCCATCTCCTTTTCATCTGCTCCCAGTCCAGCCCCCAGCTTCTGTGCAGACTTCCCTTCTGTAGACCTTCTAACAGATGGTATCCAGCTTTTGTCTGAAAGTCTCTCTGCCTTGCAAGCCAGGCCAGTCTTCTTTAGACAGTTGTAATAAATGCACACTTCTTTTTTAAACAGACCCTAAATCTGACTCCTACCCAATCATCTTTCTGACACCTGGAGTGACAGAGAATAAATGTAATTACTCTTTCACATGCTAGTTTTTCAAATATTTGAAAACTTTGTTTTCTGTTAGTTCACCTTAAGTAATACTGTGCTGTGATCCTTCCTCTTCTACAGTGAAATAATTCTCCAGCATTTTCCTGTCCTATCCCCTTTCTCTTAAATGCCATTTAACTTTCACTACATGTTATTTAAACATGACTCCTAAGGTTTCAAGAAGCATTCTATTACGGTTCAACCAGAGAAGAGGAGAATGGGGCCACATTTTCCTGAGGAAACACTGTACTTCTCTTCACTCAAACCCAAATGGCTTTCAGAGTTGAGGCAGTTACTTTGTGGTATACATCAGTATTTATTAGTATACAGGCCTCCAGGGTCCCAAATATGAACTGTTTCAGATCACGTGAACCTCATTTATCCTGTAGTTTTACAACTGAATTTAAGTACATCAGTTCACAGAGATGTCCATCTAAGATTTCACAGAACAAATAACAATTTTTGTATAATTAAATCTTCATCAGTTCTTGCTTAGAGGCTTGCAACACTCTCCTAATTATTTTCTCTTCTTTCATTTTGTTGATCCTCTCCTAACACATGTTCCAAACTTCTGTCAAGTTTATCTCTTTTTAAAGGACAAGTCTCATTATATTGTAGTATCAGTTAATTTCTCCTTTTTCTCCCCCTCTCCTGAACCCATGAATGTTCGAAGGATGGACTCCAAGGAAAAAACATGTGAA